ATATTTTCTACGTGTAAATTATTATGTATTTCTCCCGCCTGCGCTCAAGGGAATACAGATTTAGGCTCTTTAGTCGGTCCCAATAGTTTAGGTGTTTTACTGAGTGGATTCTAGCAGTAAAGGATCTCTGCACGCTCTCCAGGTCAGCAATTTCTCCAGCTTTGAAAGGGGCTGTCATTGTGCAGCAGTACTCCACTCTAGAGAGCACTAGCGTCTTGAAAAGTGTCATCATCGGTATAGCATCTCTAGTGTGAAAGGTTCTTGTTATCCAACCTGTCACTTTTCTTGCAGTTGTGACGGCTACTTTATTGTGTTCTCTAAATGTAAGGTCTTCCGACATGAGTACACTCAGATCCTTTACATTGCTTTTCGTTCTATGATATGATTTGATTGCGTTTTGTATGTGGTTTCCGTTTTTAAATTTTAATTTTTTCCGTAGCGCATGAGCTGGAACTTATCTTCGTTAAACACCATATTTTCTGTAGCCCATTGATAGACCTGATTTACATCTGATTGGAGGTTTGCCGTGTCCTCTATGTTGCCAACTCATGAAAATCCTAGTGTTATCTGCAAAGGATGATACAGTGCTATAGATTGTGTTCTGGTCTATGTCCGATATGAGGATGAGAAAAAGTACTGGAGCAAGCACAGTACCCTGGGGGACTGAGCTCTTCACGGTTGATGGACCGGATTTTATTTTGTTGACTATTACACATTGAGTTCTGTTTGTCAGGAAATTGTAGATCCATCTGCCTATTTTCCCGGTAATTCCTTTTGAACGCATTTTATGTGCAATAACACCATGGTCACATTTATCAAAAGCTTTTGCGAAATCTGTGTAAATTACATCAGCGTTTTGTTTGTCTTCCATAGCATCTAATGCCATATCATAGTGGTCCAGCAACTGCGACAGGCAAGAGCGCCCTGTTCTGAAACCATGTTGTCCGGGGTTATGGAGATGCTGGGATTCCATGTATTTTATGATCTTAATTCTTAGCACTCTCTCAAAGATGTTTATGATGTGCGATGTTAGTACTGCCAAACTGTTATTTTTTCCCTTATTTCCTCCTTTAAGAAATGGTCCCTCCCTTACGTAATGGAGCTATATCTATCTGATTTAAGTGCTTCTGGTATCTCTCCCCTGTATCCAGGCTTCTTCTCAATACTACATCAAGTGCTCCTGCTACTGGTACTTTACACTGCTTTATAAATATAGAATTCCAGGAGTCAGGACCGAGGGCTGAGCCAGGACCAACGGGGGGAAGGGGGTGGGAGGAAGGAAGGAAGCCACGGGCAGGGAAACGGACGAGTGCTGGGGAAATTTACATGGAGATGAGGCAGGCTGGCGCTATGTTAACTCAGCGGCCCTAGTCAGATATTTCTCGGTCCCACACGCCTCGCCCTGTACCCTGCCTCCACACACGCCTCGCCCTGTACCCTGCCTCCCCACACGCCTCGCCCTCTACCCTGCCTCCCCACACGCCTCGCCCTGTACCCTGCCTCCACACGCGCCTCGCCCTCTACCCTGCCTCCACACGCCCCTCGCCCTGTACCCTGCCTCCACACACGCCTCGCCCTGTACCCTGCCTCCACACACGCCTCGCCCTCTACCCTGCCTCCACACGCGCCTCGCCCTGTACCCTGCCTCCACACACGCCTCGCCCTCTACCCTGCCTCCACACACGCCTCGCCCTGTACCCTGCCTCCACACGCCCCTCGCCCTCTACCCTGCCTCCACACGCGCCTCGCCCTGTACCCTGCCTCCACACACGCCTCGCCCTCTACCCTGCCTCCACACACGCCTCGCCCTCTACCCTGCCTCCACACACGCCTCGCCCTCTACCCTGCCTCCACACACGCCTCGCCCTCTACCCTGCCTCCACACACGCCTCGCCCTCTACCCTGCCTCCCCACACGCCTCGCCCTGTACCCTGCCTCCACACACGCCTCGCCCTCTACCCTGCCTCCACACACGCCTCGCCCTCTACCCTGCCTCCACACGCCCCTCGCCCTCTACCCTGCCTCCACACGCGCCTCGCCCTGTACCCTGCCTCCACACGCCCCTCGCCCTCTACCCTGCCTCCACACGCGCCTCGCCCTGTACCCTGCCTCCACACACGCCTCGCCCTCTACCCTGCCTCCACACACGCCTCGCCCTCTACCCTGCCTCCACACACGCCTCACCCTCTACCCTGCCTCCACACACGCCTCGCCCTCTACCCTGCCTCCACACACGCCTCGCCCTCTACCCTGCCTCCACACACGCCTCGCCCTCTACCCTGCCTCCACACGCGCCTCGCCCTCTACCCTGCCTCCACACGCGCCTCGCCCTCTACCCTGCCTCCACACACGCCTCGCCCTCTACCCTGCCTCCACACACGCCTCGCCCTCTACCCTGCCACCACACGCCCCTCGCCCTCTACCCTGCCTCCACACACGCCTCGCCCTGTACCCTGCCTCCACACGCCCCTCGCCCTCTACCCTGCCTCCACACGCGCCTCGCCCTCTACCCTGCCTCCACACGCCCCTCGCCCTGTACCCTGCCTCCACACGCCCCTCGCCCTTTACCCTGCCTCCACACACGCCTCGCCCTCTACCCTGCCTCCACACACGCCTCGCCCTCTACCCTGCCTCCACACACGCCTCGCCCTGTACCCTGCCCCCACACACGCCTCGCCCACTACCCTGCCCCCACACACGCCTCGCCCTCTACCCTGCCTCCACACACGCCTCGCCCTCTACCCTGCCTCCACACACGCCTCGCCCTCTACCCTGCCTCCACACACGCCTCGCCCTCTACCCTGCCCCCACACACGCCTCGCCCTCTACCCTTCCCCCCCCCCACAACTAGGGACGGGTCACATGGGGGGCGCCACTCGCAATATCTCACCAAAAGTTATATTTTAATTTGGGTATACTCATTAATATAACATATATCAGGGAGTCCATGTTGCTTTATTGCTTGTTGACCATGTTGTATTCACCTAGTTGTGCTTGCGGGGGGTTGAGCTCTGGCTCTTCCGGCCCGCCTCTCAACCGTCAATCAAATGCCCCCCCCCACGCACGCAAACACACAGACCAAGAAGCAGCCCGTAGCAGCTGTCAAACTTTCAGGTAACAGGTGCATTAGGGTGAAAGAGACTCTGCCCATTTGTTTCCGGAAACAAAACCGGGGAGGTTCTCTTTCACCCTGATGCCCATGTTCACCTAGCAGTCAATAGGTACCTGGGAGTTAGACTGCTGTTACGGGCTGCTTCCTGAGGTAGGGGTGTGTGTGCGTGTGCGCGTGTGTGCGTGTGCGTGCGCGTGTGCGTGCGTGTGCGTGCGTGCGTGTGCGTGCGTGCGTGTGCGTGCGTGCGCGTGCGTGCGTGTGCGTGCGTGCGCGTGCGTGCGCGTGTGAGAGAGGGGGGGGCAGACCCCCCTCCCGCCCCCTCACACACCTGCTGGCCACGGCAGGAAACCCGCCCTTATCCCCCCCCCCCCCACCTGTGACGAGGGGGCCATACACTAGTGTGGCCCCGGAGGTGACACGCCTCACTCAAGCGGCCCAAACGACTCCGTGGCCAGCAGGTCAGTTGGCCCAGGCTCCCTATCCAACCCCGGTGTCCAGCCAGGGGGGGGGGGAGGTAGGTAGGTCACACTTGTGTCCAGCCTGGACACAAGTGTCACCCCCCTAGACCCCCGTGTGTCATATGATCCGTGACACATACGACCGCCAGACACGCTAAGTTCATAACTCTACGGAACCCGCCCGATTAGTTTCACTAACTCAGTCCTCTGATGAGATATGAATCACCCCCCCTTTGCAAAGAGGCGAGCCCAGGAGCTACATCTCTCCCCTGGCAAGAACTATAACTTGAGCCCCAGACCACCTGGTGCAGTGTGACCAACTTAGCCCCCCCAACCCCCCCCCCCCTCACGCCAAATAAAATAGGCAAGTTTGTGGTATTGAGTTTTGGAAACTTTAAATGGGTTCTGGTGGCCAGCTCCCCACAGCTGCACCCGCCTACCCTTGGTAGGTTGCTAGGGTGATGCCAGGGGCCCAACCGTGGTCCCCCAGCACAAAAAGGGGCCCAACCGTGGTCCCCCAGCACAACAAGGGGCCCAACCGTGGTCCCCCAGCACAACAAGGGGCCCAACCATGGTCCCCCAGCACAACAAGGGACCCAACCGTGGTCCACCAGCACAACGAGGGGCCCAACCGTGGTCCCCCAGCACAACAAGGGGCCCAACCATGGTCCCCCAGCACAACAAGGGGCCCAACCATGGTCCCCCAGCACAACAAGGGACCCAACCGTGGTCCACCAGCACAACGAGGGGCCCAACCGTGGTCCCCCAGCACAACAAGGGGCCCAACCATGGTCCCCCAGCACAACAAGGGACCCAACCGTGGTCCCCCAGCACAACAAGGGACCCAACCGTGGTCCCCCAGCACAACAAGGGGCCCAACCATGGTCCACCAGCACAACAAGGGGCCCAACCGTGGTCCCCCAACACAACAAGGGGCCCAACCGTGGTCCCCCAGCACAACAAGGGACCCAACCATGGTCCCCCTAGCACAACAAGGGGCCCAACCATGGTCCCCCAGCACAACTAGGGGCCCAACCATGGTCCCCCAGCACAACAAGGGGCCCAACCATGGTCCACCAGCACAACAAGGGGCCCAACCGTGGTCCCCCAGCACAACAAGGGCCCCAACCATGGTCCCCCAGCACAACAAGGGGCCCAACCATGGTCCCCCAGCACAACAAGGGCCCCAACCATGGTCCACCAGCACAACAAGGGACCCAACCATGGTCCCCCAGCACAATAGACGCTTTAACAGCCATAGAATCACCACAGTTATCCGAGCAATTGGGTTTACAAATCCAATGAAATACAGCTGATTTACTGAGCCCCCCCCCCCCCCCCCCCACACACACACACACACACACACACACACACACGTGGTGCATCGGGTCCAAGAAGCCAGTGAAGGCAGCAACAGTCTGGCTACTCACCATGTCATTTGGGCTCCATGGTTGGCTGGACACCGGGTCCGTCTGCCCAATCATAATCCACGGATTCCTGCCACAGAAAACGAAGGCATCATGTTAGACACGGGCATAAATACGGCATTTAGAATTATTATGGATCTTTGATAGCTTTACTCACTAATCTTGAAAAAAATATATTCAGTAAAAAATTTATAAAACACAAAGTAAACCCGGCATACAAAATTTTAGTTACGAACTTAACGGATATTTACGTCGAGAAAGAAAACGGGAAGAGATTATAAGAGACGTGATATCTATCACCCAGCAACATCTCCCACACCTGTGACTCCCTCCCCACACCTGTAACAGGAGAGCAGAACAGCATAACAGCCACAGAACAGCATAACAGCCACAGAACAGCATAACAGCCACAGAACAGCATAACAGCCACAGAACAGCATAACAGCCACAGAACAGCATAACAGCCACAGAACAGCATAACAGCCACAGAACAGCATAACAGCCACAGGGGCGCGGCGCCAGACAATCTGCACAAGACAATGTAAACTTCACACCTCCGAGAAGCTAACCATGGGTCAACAGGTCAACTCCGGTCAACGATAACGTGGTCACCAGGCTGTCAAATACGAGTCCGTCACGCTACGAGGATTAACTCTTCCCCGTCAAGAAAAGACACCGAAGACCGTCTCCTTTGACCCCAAGTGACCTAGTGGCCTTAATTATCCAGTCCTCCCCCGTCAGTCCCTTGTAGAGGCGTGTGAGTACCGGAGTGGCCAGTCTTGCTGTATACTACACTACAAGTGGTTTCAAGATCATTCGAGTGACAGGCCACAATTCTTTTTACCATTCATTTGTTCCTTACATCTGTCCCTATAGGATATAACACTTCTACCACCAGTCTTACGGTACACTGTCCGGCAACTTAGTGTGGTGGCAGCGGTCTTATTTGGAAAGTCATACGGGAAGACTTTAGCAGCTAATATTCTCGTGTCTTTCTCCGTGTCTTTCTCCGTCTCTCTCTCTCTCTCTCTCTCTCTCTCTCTCTCTCTCTCTCCCTCCCTCCCTCCCTCCCTCCCTCCCTCCCTCCCTCCCTCCCTCCCTCCCTCCCTCTCTCCCTCCCTCCCTCCCTCTCTCCCTCCCTCCCTCCCTCTCTCCCCCTACTCCCTTAAGTTGCCTACACAGAGCTCAGTCCATCTTAAGTCATTATTTACGTGCTGGCATGACGGAGCGGGTGTTAATGTAATCTCCCGCTATACCATGGTGGTATAGAGGGAGATAGCAATAGCAGCAAGCGCCGGCTATCACAATGGAGATAGCGACTCTGCTATCACACCCCAGCAACATATCCCACACCTCGGCCTCCCATCACACTACGAGTGGTCTTCAGGCCAGCAGAAGGAATGGATCTGGGAGGGGAGAGGAAAGTGGAAGGAAGAAGGGGAGGGACAGGAAGGGGGAGATGGGGACATGGAGGGAAGGGAAAGAGGAAGATAGTGGGGGAGGATGAAGGAGGGAGGAATGAAGGGCTGGGGAATGAGGGAAGAGGAACGGAAGGACAGGGGAGAAGGGGAATAGAGACTCGGAGGGAGGGAGTGAGAGAGGGGGAGAGGCTTAGGGAGAGAAAGGTGATAGATGGGAAGACAGTGGCGAAGAGAAGGGGAAGAGAGGGGAGAGAGAGAGGGGGGAGAGGCAGGGCAGGGGGGTGGGGGTGCTGGACAAGTTACACCTGGCCAGTTGGCCGGGTGAACACGGTCGACTAAAGCACCTCAAAAGGTGCGGATTTACATTCGTGAGCCGCCCGTGGCTTGGCACTCTCTTGCCTCTCATCACCAACCTCTTAACAGCGGCCGAGCGCTTCCTTCCTTGCTTGCTTGCTTGCCCTCGACACTCACACTAAACCTCACCAATTATTGCTCTTTGCTTCAGACCTCCCTCCCTCCCCCACCTACACCCCCCCTCCCTCCCCCACCTACACCCCCCTCCCACCCCCACCTACACCCCCCCTCTCTCTTTCTTTCTCTCTCTCTCTCTCTCTCTCTCTCTCTCTCTCTCTCTCTCTCTCTCTCTCTCTCTCTCTCTCTCTCTCTCTCTCTCTCTCTCTCTCTCTCTCTCTCTCTCTCTCACACACACACACACACAGCGGGACCAAAGAGCCAAAGCTCAACCCCCGCAAGCACAAATAGGTGAGTACATGCCTCGTGTGGGGGGGGGGCCTCGTAGCCTGGTGGTTAGCGCGCAGGACTCGTAATTCTGCGGCGCGGGTTCGATTTCCGCACGAGGCAGAAACAAATGGCCAAAGTTTCTTTGGGTACTAGGTGAGTACCAGTTGAGTACACACACGTGAGAAAATCTTTAAAAAAAAATTTTTGATAAAGAAAGAGATCTCGGGGTGGTTCTAGATAGAAAACTATCACCTGAGGACCATACATAGAACATAGGGGCGATTAGCCTATGCTAAAGCTTTCTAACTTCAGAACTGCTTTTCAATACATAGATGGTCCTACAACTATCCTAAATAGTCTAAACTACTCTATCCCTTTGAATTAGATTTTGATTTTGTTTCAATAAACGTACTTTAACATGGATGGCGAAATACTGAAGAAATTGTTCACGATTTTTTATAGGCCTCAAAAGTCTGGGTAAGCTGAGTGGACAGCGCTTCGGATTCGTAGTCCTGAGGTTCCGGGCTCGATCGATCCCGGGTGGAGGCGGAGACAAATGGGCAAAATGTTTCTTTCACCCTGGTGCCCCTGTTACCTAGCAATAAATAGGTACCTGGGAGTTAGACAGCTGCTACGGGCTGCTTCCTGGGGGTGTTTAACAAAAAGGAGGAATGGTCGAGAACCGGGCCGCGGGGACGCTAAGCCCCGAAATCATCTCAAGATAACCTGGCCAAAGCTAGAATATGCAGCTGTTGTGTGGTGCCCATATCTTAAGAAGCACATCAACAAACTGGAAAAGGTGCAAAGACACGCTACTAAGTGGCTCCCAGAACTGAAGGGCAAGAGCTACGAGGAGAGGTTAGAAGCATTAAATATGCCAAAACTAGAAGACAGAAGAAAAAGAGGTGATATGATCACTACATACAAAATAGTAACAGGAATCGATAAAATTGATAGGGAAAAATTCCTGAGACCTGGAACTTCAAGAACCAAGAGGTCATAGATTTAAACTAATTAAACAAAGCTACAAAAGGAATATAAGATAATTCCCTTTCGCCGACAGAGTGGTAGACGGTTGGAACAAGTTAGGTGAGAAGGTGGTGGAGGCCAAGACCGTCAGTAGTTTCAAAGCGTTATATAACAAAGAGTGCTGGGAAGATGGGACACCACGAGCGTAGCTCTCATCCTGTAACTACACTTAGGTAATTACACTTAGGTAATTACACACCAACTATAATGACAAATCAAAACAGAATTTAAGAACCTAAAAAAAAAGAAGGCATTCAGAATACTGTGTACCACCTACGTACCTGGATTGTACCTGGATGGGGTTTCGGGAGTTCTTCTACTCCTCGAGGCCAGGCTTGACTTGTGAGAGTTTGGTCCACCAGACTGTTGCTTGCAGCGGCCCGCAGGCCCACATACCCACCACAGCCCGGTTGATCCAACACTTCTTGAAGAAAACAATCTAGTTTCCTCTTGAAGATGTCCACGGTTGTTCCGGCAATATTTCTTATACTCGCTGGGAGGACGTTGAACAACCTCAAAAAGTATACAATACACTTAACAAGGCACAGATGTAGTGTACTGTATTCAAAGAGGGATACAGTACTGTATGTACTGTATTCCTCCACAACGCCAGAGACAACCAGATCTATCTTGAGGTTATCTTGAGATGATTTCGGGGCTTTAGTGTCCCCGCGGCCCGGTCCTAGACCAGGCCTCCACCCCCAGGAAGCAGCCCGTGACAGCTGACTAACTCCCAGGTACCTATTTACTGCTAGGTAACAGGGGCATTCAGGGTTAAAGAAACTTTGCCCATTTGTTTCTGCCTCGTGCGGGAATCGAACCCGCGCCACAGAATTACGAGTCCTGCGCGCTATCCACCAGGCTACGAGGCCCCCAGATCAACTAAGCTGTGTGACACCCCCCCCCTGAAACCACAGCAAGATAACACAGTAGTTTGGGAAGTTGGAGGAGGGCAGCGGGGTGGGGGGGTAAGATGTATGGAGACATGCTTGTAGGGGGCGTGGGAGGAGGAGGGGGGGCGTGGGAGGAGGAGGGGGGGCGTGGGAGGAGGAAGGGGGGCGTGGGAGGAGGAGGGGGGGCGTGGGAGGAGGAGGGGGGGGGCGTGGGAGGAGGAGGGGGGGCGTGGGAGGAGGAGGGGGGCGTGGCGCCCGCGGCTTGTGGTCGCCTCACACTACTCAACGTTTCTTCAAGCAAATCCAGCAGGGCAGGAGGGGGGGGGGGGAGAGATCCAGGGGAGGGGGAGGGGACGTGGAAAGGGGGACCGTGGGTAGGGGTGATGGAGGGGGGGGACGTAGGTAGGGGGTGCGGGGGGGGGGGGCAAGGCAACTTCCGGCCAGTCACAAGGAATAATTAAGTTGTCCAGATGATGAGTCCAACTTCCCATGCTCTCCGGAAAATTGGGTGGGGGGTGGAGGGGGGGAAGATGAGTGAGAGAGTATGTTTGTGAGTGCGTGTGTGTGTGTGTGTGTGTGTGTGTGTGTGTGTGTGTGTGTGTGTGTGTGTGTGTGTGTGTGTGTGTGTGTGTGTGTGTGTGTGTGAGAGAGAGAGAAAGAGGTGAGAGTGAGAGGTATAATACCAAGTTATAATACCAAGTAATAATACCAAGTTATAATATAGTTATGACAATTACATCTACAACCTCCCCCCCCCCTCCACCCCTCCCCCCAATGCCCCACATAACTATGAGGCACATACCTGGCCAGGATAGGCCTGGCCACCCAGGCTGGTAACACACCTGTACACCAGTTGACTGACGGTTGAGAGGCGGGACCAAAAGCCACAGCTCAACCCTCGCCAGCACAACTAGGGGAGTACCGTTGTGACCAATCTCCAGTCCAATCTACACACCACACCTCTCCTCCCTTCCCCGCCCAATCACTTGGGCTGGACGGTAGAGCGACGGTCTCGCTTCCTGCAGGTCGGCGTTCAATCCCCGACCGTCCAAGTGGTTGGGTCACCATTCCTTTCCTTCTGTCCCATCCCAAATCCTTATCCTGACCCCTTCCCAGTGCTATATAGTCGTAATGGCTTGGTGCTTTCTCCCTGATAGTTCCTTATCCTTCCTCCCCATTCCGACAATATATTTTTAACCACCCTTCCTTGCGGTTACCTTGCGTTGGTTCCGGGGATCAATGTCCCCCGCGGCCCGGTCCTCGACCAGGCCTCCTTTTTGTCACCCCCCCCCCCAGGAAGCAGCCCGTAGCAGCTGTCTAACTCCCAGGTACCTATTTACTGCTAGGTGAACATGGGGCATCAGGCTGAAAGAAACTAACCCCCCCCCCGCATAAGGTAGCCACCCCTCCCCACATCCCTGGTTGATACCTGGTTACCTGGTTGATGGGGTTCTGGGAGTTCTTCTACTCCCCAAGCCCGGCCCGAGGCCAGGCTCGACTTGTGAGAGTTTGGTCCACCAGGCTGTTGCTTGGAGCGGCCCGCAGGGCCACGTACCCACCACAGCCCGGCTGATCCGGAACTTCTCTTAGAAAACCGTCCAGTTTTCTCTTGAAGATGTCCACGGTTGTTCCGGCAATATTTCTTATGCTCGCTGGGAGGACGTTGAACAACCGCGGACCTCTGATGTTTATACAGTGCTCTCTGATTGTGCCTATGACACCTCTGCTCTTCACAGGTTCAATCTTGCATTTTCTTCCATATCGTTCACTCCAGTACGTTGTTATTTTACTGTGTAGATTTGGGACCTGACCCTCCAGTATTTTCCAGATGTATATTATTTGGTATCTCTCTCGTCTCCTTTCTAGAGAGTACATTTGGAGAGCTTTGAGACGATCCCAATAATTTAGGTGTTTTATCTCGTCTATGCGTGCCGTATATGTTCTCTGTATTCCCTCTATTTCAGCAATCTCTCCTGCTCTGAAGGGGGAAGTGAGTACTGAGCAGTACTCAAGACGGGACAACACAAGTGACTTGAAGAGTAGAACCATTGTGATGGGATCCCTGGATTTGAAAGTTCTCGTAATCCATCCGATCATTTTTCTGGCTGACGCGATATTTGCTTGGTTATGCTCCCTAAACGTTAGATCGTCGGACATCATTATTCCCAAATCCTTGACATGCTGTTTTCCTACTATGGGTAGATTCGATTGTGTTTTGTACCCTGTATTATGTTTCAGATCCTCATTTTTGCCGTACCTGAGTACCTGAAATTTATCACTGTTAAACATCATGTTATTTTCTGCTGCCCAATCAAAAACTTTGTTGACATCTGCTTGTAGTTTTTCAATGTCTTCAGCAGAGGTAATTTTCATGCTGATTTTTGTGTCATCTGCAAAGGACGACACGAAGCTGTGGCGTGTATTTTTGTCTATATCAGATATGAGAATAAGGAACAGTAGCGGTGCAAGGACTGTACCTTGAGGTACAGAGCTTTTAACATCGCTTGGACTCGATTTTATCTGATTGACTGTTACTCTTTGTGTTCTGTTCGACAGGAAATTGAGTATCCAGCGTCCTACTTTTCCAGTTATTCCCATTGACCTCATTTTGTGAGCTATCACCCCATGGTCACATTTGTCGAACGCCTTTAAGGTAGCCACCCCCCCCCCCCACCTCCGCATGAGGTAGCCACCTCCCCACCCCCATAAGGTAGCCAACCCCCCCCCCCCACCTCCCCATAAGGTAGCCACCCCCCCCCACCCCCACCTCCGCATGAGGTAGCCACCTCCCCACCCCCCACCCCCCATAACAAGGTAGGCACCAGTACCCCACAACCGCCGCCTACCCTCACCTGGCGTCGTGTCTCATGGGGAGAGAGGGAGGGAGGATAGGTAAGGGTAGGGACATCCTACCTCACCCCCGCACGTTACGAGAGGCACTCCCCCCCCCCTCACTCACCAGCGGCACTGGCACTCACAAAGACGGAAAAACAGTAATGAGGGAGGGAGAGACCGGGGGAAGGGGAGGGAAGGGGATAGGTAAATAGAGGGTAGAGTTGCCACGGAGAGTGAGGGGAGTGCCACCCGGGCCAGCATCCGTCGGTGGAGTGCCACCTTAAGATGCTCATCTTTGGGGAGATGTGGGTAACTGTAGCCAGGACAGGGGAGGGAAGAGGGCAGGATATTGAAGGTAAAGTGATGAGGAAGGGGGGGGGAGGGAGGGAAGGTGAGGGTAAGGAAACAAACGAGTGTGGCAACCTACCCGTGTGTGGGTATAAATACCCACACACACCCCCAACATGAAGGTAACACCCGCTGACGCCCCTACACCGTGTACCCCCATAGACCCCATCTTACAAGGCTGGAGGCTCCACCTCCTGGTTGACACCTGGTTGATGGGGTTCTGGGAGTTCTTCTACTCCCCAAGCCCAGTTCGAGGCCAGGCTCGACTTGTGAGAGTTTGGTCCACCAGGCTGTTGCTTGGAGCGGCCCGCAGGCCCACATACCCACCACAGCCCGGTTGGTCAGGCACTCCTTGGAGGAAACTATCTAGTTTCCTCTTGAAGATGTCCACGGTTGTTCCGGCAATATTTCTTATGCTTGCTGGGAGGACGTTGAACAACCGCGGACCTCTGATGTTTATACAGTGTTCTCTGATTGTGCCTATGGCACCTCTGCTCTTCACTGGTTCTATTCTGCATTTTCTTCCATATCGTTCACTCCAGTACGTTGTTATTTTACTGTGTAGATTTAAGACTTGGCCCTACAGTATTTTCCATGTGTATATTATTTGGTCTCTCTCTCGTCTCCTTTCTAGTGAGTACATTTGGAGAGCTTTGAGACGATCCCAATAATTTAGGTGCTTTATCTCGTCTATGCGCGCCGTATATGTTCTCTGTATTCCCTCTATTTCAGCAATCTCTCCTGCTCTGAAGGGGGAAGTGAGTACTGAGCAGTACTCAAGACGGGACAACACAAGTGACTTGAAGAGTACAACTATTGTGATGGGATCCCTAGACTTGAAAGTTCTCGTAATCCATCCTATCATTTTTCTGGCTGACGCAATATTTGCTTGGTTATGCTCCCTAAACGTTAGGTCGTCAGACATCATTATTCCCAAATCCTTTACATGCTGTTTTCCTACTACGGGCAGATTCGATTGTGTTTTGTACCCTGTATTATGTTTCAGATCCTCATTTTCATCCACCACAAGACTGGAGGCCCCACCACAACACTGCAGGCCCCCACCACAAGACTGCAGGCCCCCACCACAAGACTGCAGGCCCCCACCACAAGACTGGAGGCTCCACAAAACTGAAAGCCCCACCACAAGACTGGAGGCCTACACATATGGACTCACCTGGGTGGTGGTGGGTGGAGGAGCTCGGCATCACTTCCAGCAGCCCACACCTGCAGAAACAAGACAGGTCTATAGTCACATATTAACACTACAACAACTACAACAATTACAACAACAAAGTTGAGTGAGTGTGATGCAGGCTGGCCTCTCACTCAGTACATGTTAAACTTGTACATGTGTGTGTACCAGTAACATATGTACTATGCTTACATAAAAGGCTGTATCTTGTAATTGTGTCATTGGGTGTTACAACTGTAATATTGTGCTGTGCGTTACACGGTAACAATTATTAGCGTTAGACATGTGTACAACTATGAATTAAACAAATTAACCAATATATTGTTGTCATGCCAGTGTGTGTGAGTGTGTGTGGTGTGTGTGAGTGTGTGTGTGTGTGTGTGTGTGTGTGTGTGTGTGTGTGTGTGTGTGTGTGTGTGTGTGTGTGTGTGTGTGTGTGTGTGTGTGTGTGTGTGTGTGTTTACTAGTTGTGTACTAGTTGTGTTTTTTGCGGGGGTTGAGCTTTGCTCTTTCGGCCCGCCTCTCAACTGTCAATCAACTGTTTACTAACTACTATTTTTTTTTTCCACACCACACACACACACCCCAGGAAGCAGCCCGTGACAGCTGACTAACTCCCAGGTACCTATTTACTGCTAGGTAACAGGGGCACTTAGGGTGAAAGAAACTTTGCCCATTTGTTTCTGCCTCGTGCGGGAATCGAACCCGCGCCACAGAATTACGAGTCCTGCGCGCTATCCACCAGGCTACGAGGCCCCTTGGTGTGTGTGTGTGTGTGCGTGCGTGCGTGCGCGTGTGCGTGTGTGTGTGTGTACTCACCTAGTTGTGCTTGCGGGGGTTGAGCTTTGGCTCTTTCGGCCCGCCTCTCAACTGTCAATCAATCAACTGTAACCAATTACTAATTTTTTTTCACCACCCACACCCACCCAGGAAGCAGCTCCGTAACAGCTGACTAACTCCCAGGTACCTATGTACTGCTAGGTAACAGGGGCATCAGGGCGAAAGAAACTTTCCCCATTTGTTTCTGCCAGGTCCGGGAATCGAACCCCGGGCCACAGAATTATGAGTCCTAGGCGCTGTCCACTCAGCTACCAGACCCCCGTGCGTGTGTGTGTGGGGGGGGGGGGTCAACAGTCAACACGCACGCACACGCACATATGCGTGCGTGTACACAATATGATGCCATGGTACATAGATCATTGACACCACACCCGGTTATAACAACCCACACCTTCCTACACAACCCATGTGCTAACCTCAACAACCTGATTGAACCCTCACTTCCCCCCCCCCATCCCCCCTTCCATTTTCTTGCTGGATATCGTCTTAATCGCCGTCTTCTCTACGAACCAGGAGGCCTGGTCGACGACCGGGCCGCGGGGACACTAAGCCCCGGAAGCACCTCAAGGTAGCCTCAAGGTAGGTAGCGGACCAGGCCACTGGAGACGGAAGAGTTGAAATACTGTACAAAACTCAATTCTCCCCCACACCCAATCCCCCCTCAACCCCTCACCCAATCCCCCCTCTCCCCCTCCTCCCCCCCCCCTCGCTGGGGTTGAGCGCCAAACACAGTGCCCGTATCCACGGCACTTACTGAACACGCTATCTCCTCGTATTGATTATAATTCCCGCTATCGTACCTGTTGAAAACTAAATAATTTTATTATTTATTTATTTATTTATTTATTTATTTAAGCACTTATGCTGGCAGCCATTACGGGACACCGCTTGCTGACACTGTGTATACTGTATACTGTGTACTTGTGCCAGGTGTATACTGTATACTGTGTACTTCTGCCAGGTGTATACTGTACATTGTGTACTTGTGCCAGGTGTATACTGTATACTGTGTACTTGTGCCAGGTGTATACTGTATACTGTGTACTTGTGCCAGGTGTAGACTGTATACTGTGTACTTGTGCCAGGTGTATACTGTACATTGTGTACTTGTGCCAGGTGTAGACTGTATACTGTGTACTTGTGCCAGGTGTAGACTGTATACTGTGTACTTGTGCCAGGTGTAGACTGTATACTGTGTACTTGTGCCAGGTGTAGACTGTATACTGTGTACTTGTGCCAGGTGTATACTGTATACTGTGTACTTGTGCCAGGTGTATACTGTATACTGTGTACTTGTGCCAGGTGTATACTGTACATTGTGTACTTGTGCCAGGTGTAGACTGTATACTGTGTACTTGTGCCAGGTGTAGACTGTATACTGTGTACTTGTGCCAGGTGTAGACTGTATACTGTGTACTTCTGCCAGGTGTAGACTGTATACTGTGTACTTGTGCCAGGTGTAGACTGTATACTGTGTACTTGTGCCAGGTGTAGACTGTATACTGTGTACTTGTGCCAGGTGTATACTGTATACTGTGTACTTGTGCCAGGTGTAGACTGTATACTGTGTACTTGTGCCAGGTGTAGACTGTATACTGTGTACTTGTGCCAGGTGTAGACTGTATACTGTGTACTTGTGCCAGGTGTAGACTGTATACTGTGTACTTGTGCCAGGTGTAGACTGTATACTGTGTACTTGTGCCAGGTGTAGACTGTATACTGTGTACTTGTGCCAGGTATATACTGTATACTGTGTACTTGTGCCAGGTGTAGACTGTATACTGTGTACTTGTGCCAGGTGTAGACTGTATACTGTGTACTTGTGCCAGGTGTAGACTGTATACTGTGTACTTGTGCCAGGTGTATACTGTATACTGTGTACTTGTGCCAGGTGTATACTGTATACTGTGTACTTGTGCCAGGTGTATACTGTATACTGTGTACTTGTGCCAGGTGTATACTGTATACTGTGTACTTGTGCCAGGTGTAGACTGTATACTGTGTATTTGTGCCAGGTGTAGAGTGTATACTGTGTACTTGTGCCAGGTGTAGACTGTATACTGTGTACTTGTGCCAGGTGTAGACTGTATACTGTGTACTTGTGCCAGGTGTATACTGTATACTGTGTACTTGTGCCAGGTGTATACTGTGTACTGCCAGGTGTAGACTGTATACTGTGTACTTGTGCCAGGTGTATACTGTATACTGTGTACTGCCAGGTGTAGACTGTACATTGTGTACCGTCACCTTCTATACCAACTGTACATTCCTCGGCCTTCCCATATCTCTGAATCCTTGCCGATTCTTCAGCCTGCTAGCCTGCCTGCCTGCAAGCCTGCTAGCCTGCCTGCTAGCCTGCCTGCTAACCTGCTAGCCTGCCTGCTAACCTGCTAGCCTGCCTGCTAACCTGCTAGCCTGCCTGCTAACCTGCTAGCCTGCCTGCTAACCTGCTAGCCTGCCTGCTAACCTGCTAGCCTGCCTGCTAACCTGCTAGCCTGCCTGCTAACCTGCTAGCCTGCCTGCTAACCTGCTCGCCTGCCTGCTAACCTGCCAGCCTGCCTGATAACCTGCTAGCCTGCCTGATAACCTGCTAGCCTGCCTGATAACCTGCTAGCCTGCCTGCCAGCCAGCCACACCAGCCAGCCAGCCACACCAGCCACACCAGCCAGTCAGCCACACCAGCCAGCCAGCCAGCCACACCAGCCAGCCAGCCACACCAGCCAGCCAGCCACACCAGCCACACCAGCCAGCCAGCCACACCAGCCAGCCAGCCACACCAGCCAGCCAGCCACACCAGCCAGCCAGCCAGCCAGCCAGCCAGCCAGCCAGCCAGCCAGCCAGCCAGCCACACCAGCCAGCCAGCCAGCCAGCCACACCAGCCAGCCAGCCAGCCACACCAGCCAGCCAGCCAGCCACACCAGCCAGCCAGCCAGCCACACCAGCCAGCCAGCCACACCAGCCAGCCAGCCACACCAGCCAGCCAGCCAGCCAGCCAGCCAGCCACACTAGCCAGCCAGCCAGCCACACCAGCCAGCCAGCCAGCCACACCAGCCAGCCAGCCAGCCACACCAGCCAGCCAGCCAGCCAGCCACACCAGCCAGCCAGCCACACCAGCCAGCCAGCCAGCCACACCAGCCAGCCAGCCAGCCAGCCAGCCAGCCAGCCAGCCAGCCAGCCAGCCACACCAGCCAGCCACACCAGCCAGCCAGCCGGGGGCGTCAATGAGAGCAGTAAGAAAGGGTGTGCTGGCGGGAGACACACATCACACCTGTCTCCCTCGGGGCACGGCAAATGGGAAACCGATAGACAACACCTCGTACGTACACGGCACGTACACGGAGCGGCCCCACTCACTCGCCTCTCCTATACACGCACGCACGCACGCGCGCACACACACACACACACACACACACACACACACACACACACACACACACACACACACACACACACACACACACACACACACAGCCCAATAGGCTCAGGAATCTGTACACCTGTTGATTGACGGATGAGAGGCGGGACCAAAGAGCCAGAGCTCAACCCCCGCAAGCACAACTAGGTGAGTACACACACAAAATGCATTAGGGGCCCCTATATATATAATTTCAATATAAAAAATCCTAATCTATCTTCCCTATCAATGCAAGATAATGATCAACACTTGTGATGCTAGAACATAAGGAACCAGTAGTCACTCAAGATACAGCAGTGAATGGAGCTTCTGGGTAGACACCAGATTGTCACTCTCCCCCCTCCCCCACTCCCCCCCCCTGTGATATCCAACACAACACCCCAGACTCCTGTCTGGCCCGAGACAGGAGTCCAGACAGGAGTTAGTAACAGTTGATTGACAGTTGAGATACGGGCCGAAAGAGCAGAGCTGAACCCCTGCAAACACAAATAAGGAATACACACGAACGCACACACACACACACACACAGGAATGGCCGAACAAATGGTTGTTAGAGTTTAACCCAACCAAATGTAATGTAATAAAGATAGGAGTAGGGAGCAGGAGGCCAGATACAAGGTATCATCTGTCATCTGGGAGAGGAAATTCTTCAGGAGTCAGAGAAAGAAAAAGACTTGGGGGTTGATATTACGCCAGACCTGTCTCCTGCAGCAAATATCAAGCGGATAACATCAGCGGCATATGCCAGGCTGGCCAACATACGAACGGCATTCAGAA